AAAAAGAGCAACGCTAAATCCAAATCGACCCCGTTGCTCTCTTTCGAATTTCACATGGTGATTTTCTTTCAAATTACCGCACTCGTAAGGTAGGCCCCTTAAGACCGTATTATACAGGGTGTTTTCAAGGTTGAGTCGTCTATTTTAACAGCTAGAAGAATTGATATACCAAAAATCACCTATATATATAACTTGCATAATAAGAGAGTCAGCTTACATTATTTAAAGAAAAACCATTGCCGTAGTATTATAAAGGGTTGTCCAATAGGGACGCAGGAAAGTAAACGTCAATTTGACATAGACGCCATCTTTGTTTTCTGTCACCGACATGTCATTTTGTCAGTTGAATGTTTACCATTGATCGCTATGGAGTCGTATTCGATTGAAGACCGCATTAAAGTTATTCAAGAGCACTACAAAAATGGTGCAAAAATAAATAACACGTTTCGCGCGCTTCGTGAACATTTCGGTCGCAACAACCGCCCAAACGAAACAACCATCGGTCGTCTGGTGCGTTAATTCGAGGTAACAGGTTCTGTGGCAAATCTGCCAGGCTCTGGCCGGCCAAGGAGCGTTCGCACACCGTAAAATATTGCTGTTGTGAAGGAGAGTGTGAGAGACGATCCGAAACAATCAACAACGCGTCGATCCCAAGAATTGGGCATTTCGAGAACCAGTTTGCTCCGCATTCTCCACAAGGATTTGAATGTACACGCCTACAAGATCCAATTGATGCAAGAGCTGCGTCGGGCCGACCATTTTTCGCGCCGAACGTTCTCAGATTGGCTCCTTGAACACCGCCAAATTGATGCCAATTTTTCATCGAAAATCATGTTCAGCGACGAAGCGCATTTCACTTTGAATGGGATGGTAAACAAGCAAAACTGCCGCATCTGGGCGAACGAAAATCCCCGTGAGTATCAAGAGCAGCCGATGCATCTTCAAAAGGTGACTGTGTGGTGTACATTGTGGTCAAAAGGCATCATCGGACCTTACTTTTTCGAAAATGCGGCCGGGGACGCCGTTACCGTCAATTCTGAGCGATATCTCGTGATGATAGAGGACTATTTTTTGCCGCAACTTGAAGGAATGGATATGGACGATGTTTATTTCCAACAAGACGGTGCAACATGCCACACAACCAACGTCAATATCCATCGATTGCAGTCCTTCTTCGGTGATCGCGTGATTTCGCGCAGAGGAAATGTGCCATGGCCACCAAGATCGTGCGATTTGACTCCCTTGGACTTCTTTTTATGGGGATATTTGAAAAGCAAAGTCTACGTCAACAAACCAGCCACCCTCCAAGAACTCAAAAACAACATCATTGTCGAGATAAATGCCATAGAGCGGACCATGTTGCAAAATATCATTGAAAATTTCGACCATCGCGTGGACGTCTGTAAATCCAGTCGTGGTGAACATTTGAGCGATATTATTTTTCATTCATAAATGGTATAAATGAACCTTCAAAATAAAGCACCCAACTTGATTTGAATATCAATCTTTCTTGTTTTAATATGCGTTTACTTTCCTGCATCCGTTTTGGACAACCCCATATTTAAATGGACACCGAATCTGTTCAAAATCGTCCCCATTTTTTCGATTAACGCAAAATCTTGCTCTTTCCAAGTTTCGAAAATAAAACTCTGGTCTCCACGAATTAAATCACAATCATTTTTAGTGCGCTGTTGATGTTCGTCCAGAGTATTTACTGCGCAACTATGATACACCAACTCTTTCAAATAGCTTCACAGAAAAAGATCGCAAGGCGTTAAATCCGGGGAGCGAGCAGGTTAAGAAATGGGTCAATTGCACGTTATCCATCTAAGCTATATCCATCATCACCCTGTGGTACTTGTATTTCTTGCTAGCGTTGTCGCTACGCTATGGAATCTTATCTCGCGCCTTGAAGTTCACATGTTAACATCCTCTGTATCAGCATATTATACAGGGTGACTTTGAAGTTGAGTCATTAATTTTCAGATAATGATTGTAGAAGGAAGATAAACCAAAATATGTGTGTAAAAATAAAAAAAAAATAAAAAAAAAATTTTACCTTGTTTTATAAAGTATCCTCCCGACAAGTATTTCAGTGCGGACCTGTATTTGATCGTGAGGTCCCCTGTGAGGTCTTAAGTCACCTGATTCACGAGCCCGTTGTACTTACTACATTAACAAAGGCACGAGGGGTTGGTTGCACTCGATTGGGAAACCGATCCGCATAAACATGTGCCATTTTTTATTTCGTTTGAGCCACGCAACAGACACTATTCACACACGTAACCGACTGACACTGACTGTATTTATAACTGAACTGAATAAAATAATTGTAAAAACATCGTTCCAAATTATTTCGCTTTTTTGTTTCCGATGCGATGAACCGATAAGGCGGATTATATCTGTTGTTGCCAAACACGAGCACATGATATTATTATTGAGACAGGGCGGTACTCAAACTTCCAAAGGGCTATAACTTTGTTACTTTAATTTTACCAGAAAAATGGTAAAGGAAAAAAACATTTCTTTTGATCAGATCTACTCACTGTTAAAATAAATGACTCAACTTCGAAGTATTTCTACTGCATTGTACTAAATCCATGTGTGAGGAAATCTTGTCACTTCTTGTCTAACCGTCCTGTTTTACGCATAGTCCTGACAAGGTTTCACAAGAGTCCTTTTGTACCGTTAACAAAAATAAAGTTTTTTTTAAAAACAAGTATTTCGGTGGCAGTAATTTAACTTCTATTCGGAAACTCATTGTTCATGAACTTCTCGTCTAAAGTATGGTAGAGCCTCATAATATACGAACCTCATATACTGTCTCACATTTAGAGGAACATCTAACAATCGTCGCAGATTGTGTCAAAAAAATCTAAATAAACTTTTTGGAAAAAAATAGGGTCCAATAAACAAGCCATTTACGATCTCAGCCCAAACGCTTAATAAAAATCTATGCTCAAAATGAGTTTTTAAAAGTAACATTTCCGCATACCACCTGCAAGCTGCGCCTGCATTTTGCTGGCACTCTCCTTACGTTAGTAAAAATGACTCAACTTTGAAAACACTCTGTAGACCTGGCAAAGTCCGTACCAATCTCTAGCCTCTACATATCGTTCTTGGCGTACCTTGGCCTAATATGTAAAAGAGCAATCAGATATGCCGCGCGGTGGCTTACTTATTTAAGAGCCCAATAAAGGCTACGCGGTACATAGAGCGCGGGCTTTAATATTGAAAACGACGGAGCGCAAGGAGATCGTTAGAATTCACGTCTAATTTGTATTTTAAGGAAGGCCGGGCTTGTTTGATTTATCTCGAATTGAACAGAGTATGCAGCGAGTAATGGGGAACGATTTATTAGTAGGAACAATGAACATCGTTGCCGCAGCTCGGTATACTGATCATTAGCACACAAATGGAAGCAGATCAATACGCTCGGGGTGCAAATGAATCCAGTCGGTCGACACTAATTAGCTACGTACTTTTCATATACTAGAGGGTAGAGCTGCAAAAACCTGTCCAATAATGCAACAGGTCAGAGGGCGGGAATAGAGATTCATCAAGACAAGTAGCTTGAATTTTTTCTTAAATACTTGACTTGACTTGAAAACTCAAGCTTTTAAAAATTTGATATTTGACTTGACTTGATTTTCGGACTGAACTACTTGACTTGATATCAAGTAAAATCAAACTACTTGATATTACTTGATAGTAGATCTGTGAAATGCGCATCGAAGCGTTAAAATAGGGGATTCACACAGCAAGCAGGCACTCGATGACGACGGACGTGCTCGTGCGATTAGTAGAACAGCGTTGTTCAAGGATAAAGGGCGACCGCAAAAGAATTATTATGTCTGATTTAAGAAGTGATTTGTCAGAAATGGAGTCGGAACCTTTTCAAAGCAGCGGCTCAGAATATATCGTAAATGAAAAAGTGTCAGAATCTGATGACACCGAACCAGAAGAAGAAAGTGCAGGGTCGGTGCCACCAAAGGGAAAACGAGTTAAAGCTAATAAAACGAATAAAATTAAGGATTATTTCATAATCGAGCAGGATCCTAAGAGTAAGAAAACTACTGACAAACAAGGCAAATGTACCCTATGTGTCGTAAAAAATACAGTTTTAAAAATGAAAAACTGTGGAACATCTTCACTAAGGAGGCATTTGCAAGCTAAACACACTAGAGTCTACGAAAACATTTTTGGTAGATCCAGCCCACCTAAATCCGAAGCAGAAGCCTCTGCCAGTTCGAAAAAGGCGTAGCACAATTACAAATTGGCTTGAGAAGGTAAAAAATTAATAATAATTAGATTTGAGCTGTAAGTAAATAGTAAATAATTGTACAGGGTGGGCATTTTATTAGGGGCGTAAGCATACCTCTTCCTCAGAAACTACAGGGTGTAGAAAAAAATAATTATATAAAAGATTCTTGGCTTGGCTTGACCTATTAGAATTTTATTTATACAGGGTGTCCGAAAAGTGCTGCACCAGAATCCTTCATTTGTTTTTTCCAACTTCATCCATTTTTGAAAAATCTTTAAAAAAACACATAAAGGAATCATGCTAGAAAAAAGCAAATGCCTAATTTGGATTGCTTGATCACGAAAACCCCTTAAAAAGTTATTTTTTCCAAAATCCGGATCAGCTCATTTTAAGCCACACTTATAGTTTTATAATGTTTATTATAATCATTATAGGTTCCTTGATTTTAAAAGTCATTATATATTAAAAAGGTTTAATAAATTATTAATAAATATCGAGGTAGGCGAAATATCAAAATATTAAATAAAAGGCGGCTCTTGAACGGAAAAAATTACAACTTTCGGATAACAATTCTAAAAGTTTTTTAAATATAAGAAGCACTGTCGACTTCTAATTTAGAACCCCGCTTTTTTATTATATAACATAATTTTTGTTTGTTGTTATAATTGTGTAATGCTAATGATGTCTCATTTAAAATTCTGATTTTGAACTCGGTGCAGCAGTTTTTGGGCACCCTGCATCAATAAAACTCATCAGAGCATATTTACAAAAATCTATATTGACTTTAAGACATTCTATTCAAAATTGTGGGACATGCTATAAATTTTTATACAGGGCATTTCAAAAAAATTACTTACTTTTTCATTTAAAAGTGGGATATTATGACATTCATGCACCTTGCGCTGCATTTTACTAACTTCAGTTTTGTTTATTTTGCAGACCACTAGTTGTTCAGAAAACTTTCAACAAGAAAAATTTCAAAAACTACTTGTGGAATATATAGCACAGAAGTATCTCCCTTTCAACTTTTTTGAAGATGCTATAAGTGGAAAAATGTACAAATTCCTAAATCCAAAGGCAACTCTACCTGGTCGGAATCAAATGAAATCTTTGACATTAAAAACGTTTGCAGCAGCGCAGCAAATAATTAAGTCATTTTTGAAAACATGTAATTCAAAAATCTCGTTCACAATCGATGGATGGTCTTCTTTTAATATGAAGGGGTACTATGGTATTACCGTCCATTTAATCGATAAAAATTGGGAACTTCATTGTATCCTTCTAGATTTTGTGCCAGCACATGGGCAACATACTGGTAATGCAATTGCAAAGCTATTTTTCGAAGTATTACAATTCTACGGTGTTACAAAATGCATACAAGGTATTACTACCGACAATACAAATAGTAATTTTACGTTCATCAGAGAACTTCAAACGCATATTTCTGAAATCGATTCAAAAAATATCCACTTTGTATGTTTTGCACACATCTTAAACTTGGCAGCTAGAGATTTTATGAAAATCCTTGATTCTGAGGTTGAAGAAACCGCCAAAATTTTGACAGATATATCAGATGATGATGATAATGACTGCCAAGTTCCGCCCTCTTCTGTAAGAAAAATCCATTCCCTTGCTAAAAAATTAAAAAACTCTGAACATTTAGGTGAAGATTTTGAAAAATTTTGCACCACTTTAAACCTGAAATTTACTATGCCAAAACTTGATGACATAACAAGGTGGAACTCCGCGTTAGACATGTTGAGATGGAGTCTAAATATGAGAAACGCACTTAACATCCTTTGTGATAATGTAGAAAATTTAAAAACTTTAAAGCCAACCGACAGAGAATGGTCGTTAATTGAACGAATTTGCCAGTACCTTAATGTTTTTAAGAGTATTTCCATAATTTTAGAAGGTGAATCATATGCTACTTTACCCATGGTAATAATCGGCATTAATATGTTGCTGGATAGACTAGAATCGTGGGCTATGGTACTTGACAATAAACCTGATCGAGATGAAATCGATGAAAAGATTATAAATAGTATTCAAGCGGCAAGGGACAAAATCATTAGATATTACGAACGGACTAACTGGATGTACTGTGATGTCCTGATTTTGGACCCCCGACATAAAGTGGATACATTCTCCAATACAAGTTGGGGAAAAGAGTTGCAGATAGAAGCAATTAAACATTTTGAAGATATTTTTAAAGCACAATATTTTAGGGCTGACTCTCTGCAAATTTCTGAACCATCACTTCAAGTAGCAGCATCTTCAAACCCTAGTAAAGATAGTAGTGTCGAAAAGTTTGAAATAGATCTACTAAGTTTGTTTAATAGAAAACCTGCCCATAATGCACACGACGATATGGCCTGGCGTTACGAAATCGACAAATATATTTCTGACCCAAGAGCTGACAGTACTGAAGATATTTTAGAATGGTGGAAGAGACACGAATGCATTTTTCCAAACCTTGCCGCAATGACCAAAGACTTTTTGGCAACGCCAGCTTCTTCAGCTCCAGTTGAAACGCAGTTTTCTAGAGCTGCCTTAACTCTTACCAAAACAAGAAATCGATTAGGCGATAACTCCGTTAGAAGCCTCTTTTGTCTCAAATCATGGATGGCAAATGAGGATATTAAAGATTTATTTTAGATATTCATTTTCATGTTTGTTGATTTTCTATTGTTTTATTGTCAGAATTCAGAATATTTCGCATTTTTATTTCATATTATTTCATGTATTATTAAACTGAGTTTGTTAGAGTTTTCGTTTTTAGATGTTTTTTAGATAAAAGATTAAATCTATATATACATAGATTTTTATTGTTATTCCGTTTTGGCAGTTGAACAGATTAATATCAAAAAAGTACATTTTTTCAAGAAAAATCAAGTAGTTAGCTTGATAACTTGATTTTCAAGTTACTTGATGTGTAACTACTTGACTTGACTTGAATTTCAAAAACAAATACTTGACTTGATCTTGACTTCATATCAAGTCAAGTCAAGTCAAGTAGCTTGAAAATCAAGTCAAGTCGTGAATCTCTAGGCGGGAACTTTGAAAAAAATCTGTCCCCATGCAAAGCTTCTAGATACTTTAGAGCACAGCGGTATTAGGGGAACTCCCTCAAAGCTTATGACTGGTTGTCTCAACAACAGAACACAGTGTGTCAAAATTGATGATGCCATCAGCGAATATAAAATGGTTGACGGCGAAGTGCCGCACGGACCAGTACTTGGACCCATATTATTCAACTTATACATAAATGAACTTCACTCTTTAGATATGGGGCGTACGGGGTTAGATTTTTGCTCTTGACACAGTAATGATATATGATCGTCCTTCCTGGACAAAATTGAAAACAAATTAAAAAAATTGTATCATACTTCAACAGCAAACTACTTACCGTCAACTTTGACAAGACAAGTTTCATACCCTTTACATATGTTTCCTTTTTTTGTGCAGAGGAAGAACATGATGGTCTTTTTATGTATTTTCTTGATCTTCGTTGTATGCACCGCTCTTAACGGTGACTGGGGCTCCTATCCAGTAAAAAACCTCTACTGCTACCTCTTCTCCGCACAGCAGCGGAACCACGTTAGTATTACTTCGTTGCTGTGTGTGTCTACCTTATGACAGTCTTAAGCTAATGTTCTATTGATGTCAGTGCTCCCAGGTCAGCTATTTCGCTCCGTTTTCTTGATAGCAAATTCGTAGCAAAGGCGACAACACTGCGCCAAGGAGAATTATAACTAAAGTAAAAGTATGGATTTTAGTATAAGTGAAATATTATTGGTTTTGATAATGATTTTTCATATCTATAATTTCGTAGATGGAGCACCTTGGTTGTTGTAAAATCCATTTTTTTTAGTTCTTTTTTAAATGATCTGTTTGATTTAATTACTTTTAATGACTCTGGTATGAAGTTATAGAATTTTGACGTTTGTGGAATACATATTGAATTTTTATTGAATCTTGTTCGGTAGTTTTGAATGGTATGATTCAAGTATTTCGAATATTTAATACGTACGTATAATGTATTAGACCACAATAAAAATAAATGTGTCTGCAATCTAATAGCTAAGAATCCACATATAGAGAATCACTTGAATAAGTAATCTTCCTATGGAGGATCAATTTTAGAATTAATTTTTGGATTACATCAATCTTTTTGTAATTATTATTCATACGACATGGCGTTCACTAAATGTATTATTAATTTTGATGCACTGTGTTCGATTTGACAAATAATTTTCTATAAGTTTGTATGTTATCCCACGGAAACCTAAGTTTTCTAAAGTTGTTAAAAGCGATTCATGAGTAATAGAGTCGAATGCCTTTGCCAAGTCAACAAACAAACATGCAGTTGGTTTGCCAATATCGAGATTCGTATATTTTACTTGATAATCTTACAATAGCATCTTGAAAACCATATTTCTATTCCGCTATTGAGTTATATCTTTTTGCAAATTCGGTGAGTCGTCTTTTTAAAACTTTTTCAAATATTTTAGAAAAATTGGTTAAGATGGAAATTGGTCGATAGTTGATGGGTTTTTTCTTTCTACAGATTGAAATAATGGTTTTACGATAGCGTGTTTTAAACATGTATTGAATATTCTTTTATTCATACAAGAATTTATCAAATATGACAGTATGCCGCAGATGTTGGAATTTATCCTCTTGAGAGCATATGCTGTTATATTGTCTAAACCTGGAGATTTTCTTAATCTTAATTCATTGATTATTGTCTTTACTTCAGACGTATCGGTCGGTTCCAGATATAATGAGGATATAGTCTGGACCTATGATTTAATTTTTCCGCGTTTTTTTTACATTTGGTAGATTTTTGAAAAATATTCACAAAATTCATTTGCTATATCTATACTAAGTGACATATAAATCCGAACACCCAGTTTAAATGGTTTTATTTTAATAAAATTTTGTATAAGTACTTAATGAAGCATAATAAGTAAATGATAAACAATTCAAAATGATTGCACTGCTTTAAAGCCCTTTGACCTCTAATAATGTGTGGATGCACCCTGATGTGCTACGCATTCTCCAACGCGCCTAGGCATGCTTCTGGTCAGGTGGTCAATGTCCTCCTGTGGTATCTCATTCCAGGCAACCACCAACTCCTCTCGAAGTGCTTCTAGAGTCTGAGGAGGACGTTGCAAATTGAGCAATCTCCTACCCATCATATCCCACACGTGCTCAATTGGGGATAAGTCGGGAGATCTTGGTGGCCATGGTAACAATGTGACATCATTATGTTGAAAGAAGTCTATTGTGACTCTTGCAACATGTGGTCGGGCATTATCTTGATGGAAAGTTGGATCTGCCAGGGTGTCAAGATAGGGTAAAAGATGGGGTTCTAGAACTTCGTGGATATAACGCTGCGCGTTCATGTTACCTCTGATGAAGATAAGAGGTGACCTGGAACCATAAGCTATAGCACCCCAAACCATAACTCCAACAGTGTGATGAACATGTCTTTCAACAAAAAACTGTGGATTCCTCCTTTCACCACGTCGCCTTCTAACCCTGGCACGACCATCGTGCATGCCTAAACAAAATCGAGACTCGTCACTAAAGACAATACTGTTCCATTCCTGATCACAGAGTGACCCTTGTCTGCACCACTCAAGGCGATTACGTCGGTGTTCTCGAGTTACCTGGTAGTGGAGAAACGGTCCCTTAAGGCCAATAATCATAGGCGGCGATCTTCACGGTCTGTTGTTCTACGGCGGCGTCCAGTGCCCCTTGCTCTTTGCATACGGCCTTCTCGAAGCCATGCCTGACAACACCTAACCACAGTGTCTACACTTCTTTGCACTCTAACTGCAATTGCCCGAAAAGAAAGTCCAGCTTCCCGAAGTCCCACTATACGGCCCCTATCAAACTCACTAAGTTGACGAAATCGTACAGGTCTCCATACTCTAGGCATCGTGACCGATCGTAAAGGATGTCAAGAACCAAAATCCGCCAACGTTGCTTCTTTTCTGCGGCTGAAATATTCATTTTTAGAGCGTTAGTGAATTAAAAATAAGCAGTATAAAAACCGGAATGTCCAACTGATAAGGCTGGAAAATTTTCCACTTGTTATTTACAGTAAGATAAATGCATTCACCAACTTTTATTAAAATAAAACCATTTAAACCGGGTGTTCGGATTTATATGTCACTTAGTATACATCATCACTCACTAGTTCACCATCTTCTTTTTCAATTGTACTAATTTTGTTGTTTTGTTTTTTGCATTGTATTTTATTAATAAATTGCTACATTTTGGTTACTTAAATAATAAAAACAGCATATCTCGTACTTAATTTACGTTAGATTACATTTGAATTTGATTAGTGTCAGGCCGTGTGTTCTTAGTTCAAAGTTTCTTGTAAATCTATGTATCTCTAAGACGCATCCTTTCTTCTTTTGCGGCTAATTTTCTGTCCACCCCAGCTAAATGGCCAGGTCGACATCGCTCTCTCTGCCGCTGCAAGAAGATCCAGTTTTCATTTATTTTCATCAATTGAAGACCATCGGCATGCACAAAATCAAACAGATAATTCAAGTTCGTAACAAGCTCTTCTTATATGTATCCTGACTGTAGATACAAAACGTTGCAAAGACAATTTAGTAAATAATGTTTAATGTTGGGTGCTATGCAGAAATTAATAACTGAGATAGTCAATAATCTGAATAATGGCAACAAGAGTATTGCTGTTTTTTTGGAGCTTGCTAAGGCTTTCGACTCGGTTTTTCACGATAAGCTAATCGAAATTCTTCACAGCAATGGTATCAGGGGAGTGGCTTACGATTTACTGAGGGATTATCTTTCAAACAGACCACAACTGCTAAAACTAAATAACATAACGAGCAATAAAAAAATAATAAAGATTGGTGTCCCGCAGGGTACAGTTTTGGGACCGCTCCTTTTTAGAATTTATATAAATAAGATGCTAAAGCTGGACCCGGGGGGTTTAACTATTTCTTATGCTGACGATACTGCACTTCTCTTTGCAGGTTCTAGTTGGGACGTTGTAAAGTGTAAAACAGTGTATGGTCTAGGTATGGTAAAAGACTGGTTACAAGAGAGTAAACTAACATTGAATTTATCTAAGACATTTTCATTGACCAATAAAAACAGGACAAATTACAGCACTATTATGTTGTATGATAATTATTCTGTTAAGGAAGTATCTCAAACTAAATATATTGGAATCATTATTGACCAACATTTAAAGTGGCGACAGCATGTTGATTATGCATCGAGTTGAGTTAGAAAATTAATACATAAATTT